TTTCTTTCTTTCTTTCTTTCTTTCTTTCTTTCTTTCTTTCTTTTCTTTCTTTCTTTCTTTCTTTCTTTCTTTCTTTTCTTTCTTTCTTTCTTTCTTTCTTTCTTTCTTTTCTTTCTTTCTTTCTTTCTTTCTTTCTTTCTTTTCTTTCTTTCTTTCTTTCTTTCTTTCTTTCTTTTCTTTCTTTCTTTCTTTCTTTCTTTCTTTCTTTTCTTTCTTTCTTTCTTTCTTTCTTTCTTTCTTTTCTTTCTTTCTTTCTTTCTTTCTTTCTTTCTTTTCTTTCTTTCTTTCTTTCTTTCTTTCTTTCTTTTCTTTCTTTCTTTCTTTCTTTCTTTCTTTCTTTTCTTTCTTTCTTTCTTTCTTTCTTTCTTTCTTTTCTTTCTTTCTTTCTTTCTTTCTTTCTTTCTTTTCTTTCTTTCTTTCTTTCTTTCTTTCTTTCTTTTCTTTCTTTCTTTCTTTCTTTCTTTCTTTCTTTTCTTTCTTTCTTTCTTTCTTTCTTTCTTTCTTTTCTTTCTTTCTTTCTTTCTTTCTTTCTTTCTTTTCTTTCTTTCTTTCTTTCTTTCTTTCTTTCTTTTCTTTCTTTCTTTCTTTCTTTCTTTCTTTCTTTTCTTTCTTTCTTTCTTTCTTTCTTTCTTTCTTTTCTTTCTTTCTTTCTTTCTTTCTTTCTTTCTTTTCTTTCTTTCTTTCTTTCTTTCTTTCTTTCTTTTCTTTCTTTCTTTCTTTCTTTCTTTCTTTCTTTTCTTTCTTTCTTTCTTTCTTTCTTTCTTTCTTTTCTTTCTTTCTTTCTTTCTTTCTTTCTTTCTTTTCTTTCTTTCTTTCTTTCTTTCTTTCTTTCTTTTCTTTCTTTCTTTCTTTCTTTCTTTCTTTCTTTTCTTTCTTTCTTTCTTTCTTTCTTTCTTTCTTTTCTTTCTTTCTTTCTTTCTTTCTTTCTTTCTTTTCTTTCTTTCTTTCTTTCTTTCTTTCTTTCTTTTCTTTCTTTCTTTCTTTCTTTCTTTCTTTCTTTTCTTTCTTTCTTTCTTTCTTTCTTTCTTTCTTTTCTTTCTTTCTTTCTTTCTTTCTTTCTTTCTTTTCTTTCTTTCTTTCTTTCTTTCTTTCTTTCTTTTCTTTCTTTCTTTCTTTCTTTCTTTCTTTCTTTTCTTTCTTTCTTTCTTTCTTTCTTTCTTTCTTTTCTTTCTTTCTTTCTTTCTTTCTTTCTTTCTTTTCTTTCTTTCTTTCTTTCTTTCTTTCTTTCTTTTCTTTCTTTCTTTCTTTCTTTCTTTCTTTCTTTTCTTTCTTTCTTTCTTTCTTTCTTTCTTTCTTTTCTTTCTTTCTTTCTTTCTTTCTTTCTTTCTTTTCTTTCTTTCTTTCTTTCTTTCTTTCTTTCTTTTCTTTCTTTCTTTCTTTCTTTCTTTCTTTCTTTTCTTTCTTTCTTTCTTTCTTTCTTTCTTTCTTTTCTTTCTTTCTTTCTTTCTTTCTTTCTTTCTTTTCTTTCTTTCTTTCTTTCTTTCTTTCTTTCTTTTCTTTCTTTCTTTCTTTCTTTCTTTCTTTCTTTTCTTTCTTTCTTTCTTTCTTTCTTTCTTTCTTTTCTTTCTTTCTTTCTTTCTTTCTTTCTTTCTTTTCTTTCTTTCTTTCTTTCTTTCTTTCTTTCTTTTCTTTCTTTCTTTCTTTCTTTCTTTCTTTCTTTTCTTTCTTTCTTTCTTTCTTTCTTTCTTTCTTTTCTTTCTTTCTTTCTTTCTTTCTTTCTTTCTTTTCTTTCTTTCTTTCTTTCTTTCTTTCTTTCTTTTCTTTCTTTCTTTCTTTCTTTCTTTCTTTCTTTTCTTTCTTTCTTTCTTTCTTTCTTTCTTTCTTTTCTTTCTTTCTTTCTTTCTTTCTTTCTTTCTTTTCTTTCTTTCTTTCTTTCTTTCTTTCTTTCTTTTCTTTCTTTCTTTCTTTCTTTCTTTCTTTCTTTTCTTTCTTTCTTTCTTTCTTTCTTTCTTTCTTTTCTTTCTTTCTTTCTTTCTTTCTTTCTTTCTTTTCTTTCTTTCTTTCTTTCTTTCTTTCTTTCTTTTCTTTCTTTCTTTCTTTCTTTCTTTCTTTCTTTTCTTTCTTTCTTTCTTTCTTTCTTTCTTTCTTTTCTTTCTTTCTTTCTTTCTTTCTTTCTTTCTTTTCTTTCTTTCTTTCTTTCTTTCTTTCTTTCTTTTCTTTCTTTCTTTCTTTCTTTCTTTCTTTCTTTTCTTTCTTTCTTTCTTTCTTTCTTTCTTTCTTTTCTTTCTTTCTTTCTTTCTTTCTTTCTTTCTTTTCTTTCTTTCTTTCTTTCTTTCTTTCTTTCTTTTCTTTCTTTCTTTCTTTCTTTCTTTCTTTCTTTTCTTTCTTTCTTTCTTTCTTTCTTTCTTTCTTTTCTTTCTTTCTTTCTTTCTTTCTTTCTTTCTTTTCTTTCTTTCTTTCTTTCTTTCTTTCTTTCTTTTCTTTCTTTCTTTCTTTCTTTCTTTCTTTCTTTTCTTTCTTTCTTTCTTTCTTTCTTTCTTTCTTTTCTTTCTTTCTTTCTTTCTTTCTTTCTTTCTTTTCTTTCTTTCTTTCTTTCTTTCTTTCTTTCTTTTCTTTCTTTCTTTCTTTCTTTCTTTCTTTCTTTTCTTTCTTTCTTTCTTTCTTTCTTTCTTTCTTTTCTTTCTTTCTTTCTTTCTTTCTTTCTTTCTTTTCTTTCTTTCTTTCTTTCTTTCTTTCTTTCTTTTCTTTCTTTCTTTCTTTCTTTCTTTCTTTCTTTTCTTTCTTTCTTTCTTTCTTTCTTTCTTTCTTTTCTTTCTTTCTTTCTTTCTTTCTTTCTTTCTTTTCTTTCTTTCTTTCTTTCTTTCTTTCTTTCTTTTCTTTCTTTCTTTCTTTCTTTCTTTCTTTCTTTTCTTTCTTTCTTTCTTTCTTTCTTTCTTTCTTTTCTTTCTTTCTTTCTTTCTTTCTTTCTTTCTTTTCTTTCTTTCTTTCTTTCTTTCTTTCTTTCTTTTCTTTCTTTCTTTCTTTCTTTCTTTCTTTCTTTTCTTTCTTTCTTTCTTTCTTTCTTTCTTTCTTTTCTTTCTTTCTTTCTTTCTTTCTTTCTTTCTTTTCTTTCTTTCTTTCTTTCTTTCTTTCTTTCTTTTCTTTCTTTCTTTCTTTCTTTCTTTCTTTCTTTTCTTTCTTTCTTTCTTTCTTTCTTTCTTTCTTTTCTTTCTTTCTTTCTTTCTTTCTTTCTTTCTTTTCTTTCTTTCTTTCTTTCTTTCTTTCTTTCTTTTCTTTCTTTCTTTCTTTCTTTCTTTCTTTCTTTTCTTTCTTTCTTTCTTTCTTTCTTTCTTTCTTTTCTTTCTTTCTTTCTTTCTTTCTTTCTTTCTTTTCTTTCTTTCTTTCTTTCTTTCTTTCTTTCTTTTCTTTCTTTCTTTCTTTCTTTCTTTCTTTCTTTTCTTTCTTTCTTTCTTTCTTTCTTTCTTTCTTTTCTTTCTTTCTTTCTTTCTTTCTTTCTTTCTTTTCTTTCTTTCTTTCTTTCTTTCTTTCTTTCTTTTCTTTCTTTCTTTCTTTCTTTCTTTCTTTCTTTTCTTTCTTTCTTTCTTTCTTTCTTTCTTTCTTTTCTTTCTTTCTTTCTTTCTTTCTTTCTTTCTTTTCTTTCTTTCTTTCTTTCTTTCTTTCTTTCTTTTCTTTCTTTCTTTCTTTCTTTCTTTCTTTCTTTTCTTTCTTTCTTTCTTTCTTTCTTTCTTTCTTTTCTTTCTTTCTTTCTTTCTTTCTTTCTTTCTTTTCTTTCTTTCTTTCTTTCTTTCTTTCTTTCTTTTCTTTCTTTCTTTCTTTCTTTCTTTCTTTCTTTTCTTTCTTTCTTTCTTTCTTTCTTTCTTTCTTTTCTTTCTTTCTTTCTTTCTTTCTTTCTTTCTTTTCTTTCTTTCTTTCTTTCTTTCTTTCTTTCTTTTCTTTCTTTCTTTCTTTCTTTCTTTCTTTCTTTTCTTTCTTTCTTTCTTTCTTTCTTTCTTTCTTTTCTTTCTTTCTTTCTTTCTTTCTTTCTTTCTTTTCTTTCTTTCTTTCTTTCTTTCTTTCTTTCTTTTCTTTCTTTCTTTCTTTCTTTCTTTCTTTCTTTTCTTTCTTTCTTTCTTTCTTTCTTTCTTTCTTTTCTTTCTTTCTTTCTTTCTTTCTTTCTTTCTTTTCTTTCTTTCTTTCTTTCTTTCTTTCTTTCTTTTCTTTCTTTCTTTCTTTCTTTCTTTCTTTCTTTTCTTTCTTTCTTTCTTTCTTTCTTTCTTTCTTTTCTTTCTTTCTTTCTTTCTTTCTTTCTTTCTTTTCTTTCTTTCTTTCTTTCTTTCTTTCTTTCTTTTCTTTCTTTCTTTCTTTCTTTCTTTCTTTCTTTTCTTTCTTTCTTTCTTTCTTTCTTTCTTTCTTTTCTTTCTTTCTTTCTTTCTTTCTTTCTTTCTTTTCTTTCTTTCTTTCTTTCTTTCTTTCTTTCTTTTCTTTCTTTCTTTCTTTCTTTCTTTCTTTCTTTTCTTTCTTTCTTTCTTTCTTTCTTTCTTTCTTTTCTTTCTTTCTTTCTTTCTTTCTTTCTTTCTTTTCTTTCTTTCTTTCTTTCTTTCTTTCTTTCTTTTCTTTCTTTCTTTCTTTCTTTCTTTCTTTCTTTTCTTTCTTTCTTTCTTTCTTTCTTTCTTTCTTTTCTTTCTTTCTTTCTTTCTTTCTTTCTTTCTTTTCTTTCTTTCTTTCTTTCTTTCTTTCTTTCTTTTCTTTCTTTCTTTCTTTCTTTCTTTCTTTCTTTTCTTTCTTTCTTTCTTTCTTTCTTTCTTTCTTTTCTTTCTTTCTTTCTTTCTTTCTTTCTTTCTTTTCTTTCTTTCTTTCTTTCTTTCTTTCTTTCTTTTCTTTCTTTCTTTCTTTCTTTCTTTCTTTCTTTTCTTTCTTTCTTTCTTTCTTTCTTTCTTTCTTTTCTTTCTTTCTTTCTTTCTTTCTTTCTTTCTTTTCTTTCTTTCTTTCTTTCTTTCTTTCTTTCTTTTCTTTCTTTCTTTCTTTCTTTCTTTCTTTCTTTTCTTTCTTTCTTTCTTTCTTTCTTTCTTTCTTTTCTTTCTTTCTTTCTTTCTTTCTTTCTTTCTTTTCTTTCTTTCTTTCTTTCTTTCTTTCTTTCTTTTCTTTCTTTCTTTCTTTCTTTCTTTCTTTCTTTTCTTTCTTTCTTTCTTTCTTTCTTTCTTTCTTTTCTTTCTTTCTTTCTTTCTTTCTTTCTTTCTTTTCTTTCTTTCTTTCTTTCTTTCTTTCTTTCTTTTCTTTCTTTCTTTCTTTCTTTCTTTCTTTCTTTTCTTTCTTTCTTTCTTTCTTTCTTTCTTTCTTTTCTTTCTTTCTTTCTTTCTTTCTTTCTTTCTTTTCTTTCTTTCTTTCTTTCTTTCTTTCTTTCTTTTCTTTCTTTCTTTCTTTCTTTCTTTCTTTCTTTTCTTTCTTTCTTTCTTTCTTTCTTTCTTTCTTTTCTTTCTTTCTTTCTTTCTTTCTTTCTTTCTTTTCTTTCTTTCTTTCTTTCTTTCTTTCTTTCTTTTCTTTCTTTCTTTCTTTCTTTCTTTCTTTCTTTTCTTTCTTTCTTTCTTTCTTTCTTTCTTTCTTTTCTTTCTTTCTTTCTTTCTTTCTTTCTTTCTTTTCTTTCTTTCTTTCTTTCTTTCTTTCTTTCTTTTCTTTCTTTCTTTCTTTCTTTCTTTCTTTCTTTTCTTTCTTTCTTTCTTTCTTTCTTTCTTTCTTTTCTTTCTTTCTTTCTTTCTTTCTTTCTTTCTTTTCTTTCTTTCTTTCTTTCTTTCTTTCTTTCTTTTCTTTCTTTCTTTCTTTCTTTCTTTCTTTCTTTTCTTTCTTTCTTTCTTTCTTTCTTTCTTTCTTTTCTTTCTTTCTTTCTTTCTTTCTTTCTTTCTTTTCTTTCTTTCTTTCTTTCTTTCTTTCTTTCTTTTCTTTCTTTCTTTCTTTCTTTCTTTCTTTCTTTTCTTTCTTTCTTTCTTTCTTTCTTTCTTTCTTTTCTTTCTTTCTTTCTTTCTTTCTTTCTTTCTTTTCTTTCTTTCTTTCTTTCTTTCTTTCTTTCTTTTCTTTCTTTCTTTCTTTCTTTCTTTCTTTCTTTTCTTTCTTTCTTTCTTTCTTTCTTTCTTTCTTTTCTTTCTTTCTTTCTTTCTTTCTTTCTTTCTTTTCTTTCTTTCTTTCTTTCTTTCTTTCTTTCTTTTCTTTCTTTCTTTCTTTCTTTCTTTCTTTCTTTTCTTTCTTTCTTTCTTTCTTTCTTTCTTTCTTTTCTTTCTTTCTTTCTTTCTTTCTTTCTTTCTTTTCTTTCTTTCTTTCTTTCTTTCTTTCTTTCTTTTCTTTCTTTCTTTCTTTCTTTCTTTCTTTCTTTTCTTTCTTTCTTTCTTTCTTTCTTTCTTTCTTTTCTTTCTTTCTTTCTTTCTTTCTTTCTTTCTTTTCTTTCTTTCTTTCTTTCTTTCTTTCTTTCTTTTCTTTCTTTCTTTCTTTCTTTCTTTCTTTCTTTTCTTTCTTTCTTTCTTTCTTTCTTTCTTTCTTTTCTTTCTTTCTTTCTTTCTTTCTTTCTTTCTTTTCTTTCTTTCTTTCTTTCTTTCTTTCTTTCTTTTCTTTCTTTCTTTCTTTCTTTCTTTCTTTCTTTTCTTTCTTTCTTTCTTTCTTTCTTTCTTTCTTTTCTTTCTTTCTTTCTTTCTTTCTTTCTTTCTTTTCTTTCTTTCTTTCTTTCTTTCTTTCTTTCTTTTCTTTCTTTCTTTCTTTCTTTCTTTCTTTCTTTTCTTTCTTTCTTTCTTTCTTTCTTTCTTTCTTTTCTTTCTTTCTTTCTTTCTTTCTTTCTTTCTTTTCTTTCTTTCTTTCTTTCTTTCTTTCTTTCTTTTCTTTCTTTCTTTCTTTCTTTCTTTCTTTCTTTTCTTTCTTTCTTTCTTTCTTTCTTTCTTTCTTTTCTTTCTTTCTTTCTTTCTTTCTTTCTTTCTTTTCTTTCTTTCTTTCTTTCTTTCTTTCTTTCTTTTCTTTCTTTCTTTCTTTCTTTCTTTCTTTCTTTTCTTTCTTTCTTTCTTTCTTTCTTTCTTTCTTTTCTTTCTTTCTTTCTTTCTTTCTTTCTTTCTTTTCTTTCTTTCTTTCTTTCTTTCTTTCTTTCTTTTCTTTCTTTCTTTCTTTCTTTCTTTCTTTCTTTTCTTTCTTTCTTTCTTTCTTTCTTTCTTTCTTTTCTTTCTTTCTTTCTTTCTTTCTTTCTTTCTTTTCTTTCTTTCTTTCTTTCTTTCTTTCTTTCTTTTCTTTCTTTCTTTCTTTCTTTCTTTCTTTCTTTTCTTTCTTTCTTTCTTTCTTTCTTTCTTTCTTTTCTTTCTTTCTTTCTTTCTTTCTTTCTTTCTTTTCTTTCTTTCTTTCTTTCTTTCTTTCTTTCTTTTCTTTCTTTCTTTCTTTCTTTCTTTCTTTCTTTTCTTTCTTTCTTTCTTTCTTTCTTTCTTTCTTTTCTTTCTTTCTTTCTTTCTTTCTTTCTTTCTTTTCTTTCTTTCTTTCTTTCTTTCTTTCTTTCTTTTCTTTCTTTCTTTCTTTCTTTCTTTCTTTCTTTTCTTTCTTTCTTTCTTTCTTTCTTTCTTTCTTTTCTTTCTTTCTTTCTTTCTTTCTTTCTTTCTTTTCTTTCTTTCTTTCTTTCTTTCTTTCTTTCTTTTCTTTCTTTCTTTCTTTCTTTCTTTCTTTCTTTTCTTTCTTTCTTTCTTTCTTTCTTTCTTTCTTTTCTTTCTTTCTTTCTTTCTTTCTTTCTTTCTTTTCTTTCTTTCTTTCTTTCTTTCTTTCTTTCTTTTCTTTCTTTCTTTCTTTCTTTCTTTCTTTCTTTTCTTTCTTTCTTTCTTTCTTTCTTTCTTTCTTTTCTTTCTTTCTTTCTTTCTTTCTTTCTTTCTTTTCTTTCTTTCTTTCTTTCTTTCTTTCTTTCTTTTCTTTCTTTCTTTCTTTCTTTCTTTCTTTCTTTTCTTTCTTTCTTTCTTTCTTTCTTTCTTTCTTTTCTTTCTTTCTTTCTTTCTTTCTTTCTTTCTTTTCTTTCTTTCTTTCTTTCTTTCTTTCTTTCTTTTCTTTCTTTCTTTCTTTCTTTCTTTCTTTCTTTTCTTTCTTTCTTTCTTTCTTTCTTTCTTTCTTTTCTTTCTTTCTTTCTTTCTTTCTTTCTTTCTTTTCTTTCTTTCTTTCTTTCTTTCTTTCTTTCTTTTCTTTCTTTCTTTCTTTCTTTCTTTCTTTCTTTTCTTTCTTTCTTTCTTTCTTTCTTTCTTTCTTTTCTTTCTTTCTTTCTTTCTTTCTTTCTTTCTTTTCTTTCTTTCTTTCTTTCTTTCTTTCTTTCTTTTCTTTCTTTCTTTCTTTCTTTCTTTCTTTCTTTTCTTTCTTTCTTTCTTTCTTTCTTTCTTTCTTTTCTTTCTTTCTTTCTTTCTTTCTTTCTTTCTTTTCTTTCTTTCTTTCTTTCTTTCTTTCTTTCTTTTCTTTCTTTCTTTCTTTCTTTCTTTCTTTCTTTTCTTTCTTTCTTTCTTTCTTTCTTTCTTTCTTTTCTTTCTTTCTTTCTTTCTTTCTTTCTTTCTTTTCTTTCTTTCTTTCTTTCTTTCTTTCTTTCTTTTCTTTCTTTCTTTCTTTCTTTCTTTCTTTCTTTTCTTTCTTTCTTTCTTTCTTTCTTTCTTTCTTTTCTTTCTTTCTTTCTTTCTTTCTTTCTTTCTTTTCTTTCTTTCTTTCTTTCTTTCTTTCTTTCTTTTCTTTCTTTCTTTCTTTCTTTCTTTCTTTCTTTTCTTTCTTTCTTTCTTTCTTTCTTTCTTTCTTTTCTTTCTTTCTTTCTTTCTTTCTTTCTTTCTTTTCTTTCTTTCTTTCTTTCTTTCTTTCTTTCTTTTCTTTCTTTCTTTCTTTCTTTCTTTCTTTCTTTTCTTTCTTTCTTTCTTTCTTTCTTTCTTTCTTTTCTTTCTTTCTTTCTTTCTTTCTTTCTTTCTTTTCTTTCTTTCTTTCTTTCTTTCTTTCTTTCTTTTCTTTCTTTCTTTCTTTCTTTC